ATCCACTGGCAGCTAGGATCCAGGACATGAATCAAATAAAACTGGACAGACTAACAAAAAGACAAGCAATGATCTGGCCCTGAATGCTCAGGCTGAACTGAATATAAACCACAGGAAACAGGTGAGAGGAATAAATTATGATTGAGGCAGGGAAGGAAGAGGGCAGGTGAGAGGAATTACTAATTAAGGGAGAGCAAACAGGCCAGATCATGACAGTTACCTACCGAGGGCAACAGAACAGACTGGGAATGTCTGAGGTGAGATTGACATTCTATCTGTCGACTGCAAAATACTTCTATCTGTTTTGGACCACTGATTTCCAAAGTTGGGGTGCTTGATCAGCCCATACAGGATCATGAGATCCCCTACAGAAATTATGCTGAAGAATAAACATTGATGTTGAAGTGACTATAAAGACATAAAAGCATCACTAAAGATGGACAAAACCAACTCTTTTGGTTTTTGAGGCATCTTTTATTTGTTACGTTGAAAGGTCTATTTGCATGAATGTCAATCATTCCCATGTGTCCCTTTCCAAAGAAATAAAGCATGTGTCTGGTTATAAGTTCTTCAAAGAACCTTCGGAAAGTGTATCTGGGGTTCATGTTCTGAAATAATCATGCAAAAATGAGGATCTTTAGCTCTTCGAAGCAAGAAAAGCCCTTACAAAGAGCTAGCTGATGAGTAACCCTTTAACACTGTCATGGTGGAAAGGGAGTATGGAGAAAGTTTTTGTAGTGGAAAAAAAAAATCACTAATTTCTTGAGACCAAAAATTGCTATATTTGATCAGAGATGGAAGAAATGGATCAACTATAAGAATTATTAGTGCATTTAAGCAACTGTAATACCCACCTTTATATCATTGGTTTCCCTCTTTTTTTCATCACTGTTGTTATTAGTTTGTTCACTGTATATTTGTGAATATAACAGAAATTATGAGTTAAAAAATGTGTTCATGAATAGGAGAGGGGAAGTGAGATTAGTTGTTTTGCATAAACCTGGTGAAGTTTTTTCTTGTTTGCGTGGAGCACAGACTGATCTTTTCTGTAGAAAAGATGTTAGTGTAAAATTAAAACATATTGGGAGAGGACTTATACTTTTTTTGTGTGTAAATTATTGTCACATGTCTTCTGTTGCTCTTTTGGTAGCTTTATAATCCTGTAAAAGGTCAGATGCCACTTACATTCTAGCTGTCAATAGGCACTAGGTTAAGTGCACAGACACAAACCTGCATGCACATAGGTCTCATATGAGATTTAAATGTGGGAAATAAACCTAACATACACGGTTTGGGGCTTTAGAATATCCATGCATTTACAGAGAAAACAAGCAAAGCAGAGACAGAAACACTCTGGGGCACTACATCGATAAGAAAGCCACCACAAAGGCAAGCTTGTATATCTTGGCAGGTGCTAAAATGCTTTTCTGTATGTCAGCTTTAATAGACGCGTGTTTCAGATGGAGAAAGGTCACATTTAAGCCAACAGTAAATAAATGGAGCTTGAATTAGAGGCGCCAGGGAGCCCTGAACTTTTTATACTTATTGTTTTTTTATTTACTGATTAAACGGTCTTATATTCTATGTTTTCCAGATTTACATTTAGAGTAAAAACATGCAATAAAATAAGTAATCTAAACTACAAACACCTGTTTAATTAATAAAAAGACAGCTTTTGGTCTATGGCAATTACGACTTCTTTAGCCTCTTATTACTTGAGATTATGACTTTCCGGTTCTATAAAGTCCTGGTTTGCAGAGAGCATAATTGATTGGAGTTGGTTGTCCATTATTTATGAAAAATGTTATGAAATGTATCATTTCTATTCCACTTCAGTGATATTCACTTAATCATGCGGGCCTATTATATACAATCTTGGTTAAAATAAAGTTTTCTCATGCTTGAAGATTAGAACTAAGCTGGTATAAACCAGATTGATATGTGTGTTTAAATTTGAATTCTACACTGAATTCTACACTGGTTAATGAGTTGACGTCATACACGTCACTGTGTTTCATTGGTCCAAAACATTTCTGTATCAAGGCTAATTCATGTCTTGGCTTCTTTCAAGATGTATTTTCAGGATGTTATGAATTCACAAATCCCACTGTAATAAATCTTGCTTGGACTGTATTGTTAGTACATGACCAAAGCACAGAGGCTGGTTATGGCAAAAGTACAACTTTTAGTAAAATATAACAGGAAATTCAATGACAATGACAAGAACATCAGGACATGGAGGAAAGGCAAAGGAAAGCCTGGTTTATGCTTGACATGTGCACGACCAAGGCTGCACAATGGTGCAGTTTGCAGCACTGTTGCCTTGCAGCAAGAAGGTTTTGGGTTTGATTCCGGGTTTCTTTCTGCATGGAGTTAGCATGTTCTCCCTGAGCATGCGTGGGTTCTCTCTGGGTACTCCGGCTTCCTCCCATAGTCCAAAAACATGACTGTTAGATTAATTTGCTTCTCTAAATTGTCCTTAGTTGTGAGTGTGTGTGCATGGTTGCCCTGCGACAGACTGGCGACCTGTCCAGGGTTAACCATGCCTCTCGCCCATAGACTGCTGGAGATAGGCACAGGTCCCACCGCAACCTTGACAGGACTAAGCTGGAAAAAGGTAAAATTACGTCATTTTGGGCTTCCATGCCTCTTACTCTGTGCGGACAGAATTTCCGCTTCGCACACCTAGGAAATTCTGTAACTACATGGAAAGATTTGCATGAGAAAAACATGGTGAGTTACAAATGTAAAGATCTAGAAATCCTATGAATTAGCTCCTAGATACCACCATAAAGATGGTGGAAAAGTTTCTGGAAAGAAATGACTGTCACACTTGGACAGCACAAAGAAGAAGAAGAAAGTTGTAAATGTCTGTGTTTTCTACTTCCTCATGTGGTGTGGTGTTGTCAGCTTGCAGTTTGTGCTGAACACATGATGGGTGGCTCATTTTCCGTGTGGATTGTACGTGCTTCAAACATAATGAGCCCTTAATGGGAACAATATTAAACCAGGAGCTTAAATACTGAGACGGGGTGGAAATCAATAAAATAACCTAATTATCCGATCCGAAGAGATGTAAAACAGCTGTTGCTTAATAAAGCAAGGAAGCTGAGGGGGGTTAATAAATACAAGGAGAGCTAAATGATTATTTTAATGATGCTAGTAGCCAAAGTAAAAAAAAAAAATCAGAAAAGGGAATATAAAGAAGTACACTACCGTTCAAAAGTTTGGGGTCACATTGAAATGTCCTTATTTTTTAAGGAAAAGCACTGTACTTTTCAATGAAGATTAACTAGTCTTAACTTTAAAGAAATACACTCTATACATTGCTAATGTGGTAAATGACTATTCTAGCTGCAAATGTCTGGTTTTTGGTGCAATATCTACATAGGTGTTTATAGGCCCATTTCCAGCAACTATCACTCCAGTGTTCTAATGGTACAATGTGTTTGCTCATTGGCTCAGAAGGCTAATTGATGATTAGAAAACCCTTGTGCAATCATGTTCAGCACAAACAAGCTACTGCGGGTACTATTTAATGAAGATGGCAGTTGGGGACGTGTGAGGCATCTGTTTCTCAAACTAGAGACTCTGATGTACTTATCTTCTTGCTCAGTTGTGCAACGCGGCCTCCCACTTCTTTTTCTACTCTGGTTAGAGCCTGTTTGTACTGTCCTCTGAAGGGAGTAGTAAACACCGTTGTAGGAAATCTTCAATTTCTTAGCAATTTCTCGCATGGAATAGCCTTCATTTCTAAGAACAAGAACAGACTGTTGAGTTTCAGATGAAAGTTCTCTTTTTCAGGTCATTTTGAGTGCTTAATTGACCCCACAAATGTGATGCTCCAGAAACTCAATCTGCTCAAAGGAAGGTCAGTTTTGTAGCTTCTGTAATGAGCTAAACTGTTTTCAGATGTGTGAACATGATTGCACAAGGGTTTTCTAATCATCAATTAGCCCTCTGAGCCAATGAGCAAACACATTGTACCATTGGAACACTGGAGTGATAGTTGCTGGAAATGGGCCTATATACACCTATGTAGATATTGCACCAAAAACCAGACATTTGCAGCTAGAATAGTCATTTACCACATTAGCAATGTATAGAGTGTATTTCTTTAAAGTTAAGACTATTTAAAAGTTATCTTCATTGAAACGTACAGTGCTTTTCCTTAAAAAATAAGGACATTTCAGTGTGACCCCAAACTTTTGAACGGTAGTGTAATAGATGGAAACACACAAGAAATGATAAAAGAAAGAAAGAAATTAAACGTATATGATGTAACCATGATATCAATAATAAAACCAACAATAATTAGAAAGGAACACAAAAGAAATCCAAACCAAAAACACCTGTAGATGATGAAAAGTTGGTAGAAAAGGTTAACAAATAGTCACTGATGCAAACAAACTGCATCCTTTGACTTTTAATGAATTTCATTTCAACTGCTCTTCACTTACACAAGTGTGTATTGCAGGCCTCTGGTTTGCGTGACTCCCAGCCCTGCGGCCCTAAACAATAAGGAGACCCGAGTCTCGCCAGCCAGCCGGGTGGGGCCACTCAGTGGCAGGAAGCATAGCCATCAATATTTACTCTGCAGGCAGGCTAGCTGTGGAGTCGTCAGGCCTGGAGCCCGTGTAGCACAGCGCCACAAGCAGTCCAAGAACACACACACAAAAACACACTCAAGTGCCTTTCAGCCCTCTTTCCTTTAAACCCCCTTTTTCCCACCCAGTGCAATTAAAACACAGTCAGACAGACTGGATCCTCTGGTTGTTGTTTTTGACCTCATAGCTTCCTTTAGGGCCCCGGTTTAGGCCACAGCTCAGCTCCTCATGGACGCAACTATTAAGCTACCCTCTGTAAACTGAAATCAAGCTGCAGCTGATATGTCTTGCTTTTGTCAAACATTTATCTTCTAATTAAATGAAAGAAAAAAAAGCTTTTACTGACATTTTTTTTTCTTTTACGTCTTTTTTCTTTTTTTTTTCATTTTACAGTGATGGGAGGGTCTGCTCTGCTCACGCTTCTGTTAACAGGAGTTTTTCTCTCGACTTCCAACATTCAGGCAGGTGAGTTAAAAGCAACCTTTTTTGTCTCTTTCCCATGAAGCATCTATTTCTTTTATTAAGCAATAGTTCAACATTATCCGCTGGAACAAAAGGTCTGTATCCAACCAACAAGTTTAGACAAGGTTGGTGTTTACTAGATGCCTGACATGATGACCTGAGTAAATGGGAGGCGGAGGATTTTCCAAAAAACATTTCAAGAGGAAAATTACTTACTTATGTGCAACTGTCTGTCTTTTAGTCCAAAATTACCTCTGGCAATTTAAACAAGGTCACATTCCTGCAAAGGTTTAATACTTGCGTAAATTAGAATATTGTTGGTATTTCAGTTACTCAATTCCAGAAATTAATCTCATGTATAACACAAAATAAAACTGATTACTGCAGGGCACAGCTCATGTGCTGGAAATAAAAAAATCTTTATGGTTAACACGTGTTTAAGTATCAAAACCTTTGTTTTATAGTTTATCTTTAGTTTTATGAGAATTTTTTATAAAAAATGTTTACTTCAGGCATTCTTAGTTGTAAACCACAATCTTTTAAGATTATTAGAAAAAAAAACACTTGAAATACGTTGTTCTTTATATCTTTATATATCGTTGCTAAATATAAAGGAGATTCTCATTTAAAATGTAATACTAAAATAAAAGTAAGTAACTTACCAAGTCTTTTATTTGGGATTATAAAGTACCTGTGGAGTACTTTCTGCTGTTACTATTTACCTCTTTAGTCTGAATATTTTAAGGCCTAAAAATAACTTGAGCTTGTACGTTTAAACCCTGTCATCTCATTCCAAGAAGATTGTCATTTCAAACCAAAGTTACCTCTCGGTGAACCACACGAGCTGACTGTTTCTGTGGCATCATGCAACACGGGAAGTGAGGTTAACATATTTTCCGGCTTTAATAAGCAGTTTTTTCCCCCTAAGGAAGTAATTTCTGGCCTCCGTGCTATGATTTCAGAAAAATGATTTTACAGAAGAAAGGCTGTATTTTTGTTCTCTCATTTTCTTATCTCACTGTCTTCTGATGGGACTTTATTTTCACTCTTAACATCATTTTCTTCTTGTGTTTTTAGAAACCCATGATGGCGGTGAAGAAGAGATGCTGCTGTGTACCTGTGAGAACTCCAAAGGCACATGCAACAATGGGACATGCATAGGAGACTACTGTTTCTACACGTTGACAAAGGACATAGAGGAAAGAGGATGTTTCTCCAAAAAGCACTTTAGAGAGCAGTGCTCAGGCGCCTTCCCTGGCTTTTTTGTCCACTGCTGCCAAAAGGAAAAGTGCAATGCCTTCATCACACCACCTCCAAATATTAGTCAGTACCCGAAGTCATCCTTTTACAATATAGTTTAATATCATGTTTTTATTTTGTTTGCATGCTTTAGTAGAAGGACCTCAGCTTCATCTTAGATAGTAAGGGGTTCCCCCTAGTGGTCACACTCCGCAAACTAGTACTTCAGCCCTATTTCATCACTGATTATAAGGATGTATCTTAGTAAATTACAATGTAATTTAAAACGTTTATCACAAATTTAAAAGGTGAAACTCATACGGTGCACCTGGAATCTCACCATTTTCACCATCTTAATTTGTTGTGTTTCACCCTTATTCCAAAATTTATTAATTAAAATACTAATTAACACTAGGATGAGCAAAATGGCCTTTATCAATCATAAATGCAAGAGGTCTGGAGGTACCTGGAGGTATCGACTGGGGTAAAGTACCCGAGTCAGGGTGGTGAAGAAGAACCCTCTGGTCACTCTGGAAGAGCTCAAGTGTTGCTCTTTGAAGAGATGAGAACTTTTCTGAAGGAAAACCCTTCCTGCAGCAGTCCACCAATAAGGCCAGTATAGTAGAGTGGTCAGAGGATATCAGCACAATAATAAAAGCCACAAGGCACTTTGCCCACAGGTACTTACAGGATATTCAGACCACAATAAATATATAAATATTCTCTGTTCTAATCAGGCAAGATTTAATGTGTAAGGGAAGCCAGGTCCTGATCATAACATGGCCAGGAGCATTCCTACAGTGAAGCATGATGGAGGCATCATTATGCTATGGGGATGTTTATATGCAGCAGGAACTGGAAGACTTGTTAGTAAAGTTGGAAAAAATCTATGTAGCCATTTAAAGAGACATCCATGAGGAAAACTACCTCATAAGTGCTCTTGACCTCAGACTGGAGCAACATTTTGTCTTTCAGCAGGACAAGGACCCCTCACATACAGGAACAATATCAAAGCTGTAGCCTGAGGCCAAATCTGACCTTAAGTAAAAGTGGCTGCGCACCAGTCTGTTCTGCCTGATGGAGCTTGAGAGGTTATGCAGAGGTTATGAGTCATGGGTGAAACTGCACAAAGGCTGTAACTGCTGCCAGTTATGTATCAACAAAACCACTTACATAGATAATTGCAAAAACATCAAAACTATATTTATTTTAGGTTGTCATTTTGGTGTTATTACTGGAGTTATGAGAGGAAAATAAATTAAATGCATATTGGAATAAGGCTGTATCATCACAAAATCTGTTTTGTGCTGACTCTGCAGTTTATCATATATCATATCATATATGCAATCTTCATGTATTAGCCATAGCATGCCTTCTTATTGCATATTATTAGTTTTTATCCTACGCACTTTAATGCTCCTTACTTTGATTCTATAAAAATATATATAACCCTAACACTGTGTAACGAAACTATACATCATATGTGAAATTCTTTTATTGTTAAATTGTTGTATTTTACTGACCTGTATCCAATCCGTTTGTTTTAGCCTTTTTAAGAAAGAATACTAATATACATAAACTCCTGTCCTACAAGGTTGTTATAGGTGTTTTAGACTGTGTATGTCTATGTGTGTGTCGATGAGTGAATCTTTTATTTCTATATTCAGATGGGGAGCCGACGCCACCCCCAGAGCTGCCCCGAACTGAGGTGTGGATCGCTGTGTCTCTGCTGCTTCTTCTCACGTCTATAAGCGTGTGTGGCGTTCTGCTATTTCTGCGATTCCGACGGGCGCCCTGCAAGCTGAAGGACCCCGAAGACCACGGTCTCATGGTCAAAGTCCCCGCTGGAAACGACCCCACATACGGTGTAAGGAACACCTGCTACTTTCTAATGAGACAGGGTGAAATGACTGTTTTTACTCCTTAATACATCTGCATTGCTTGTTTCTAGGAAATTTTTGATGAGTTTTGCACGTCAGGAAGTGGAACAGGCCTTCCATATCTGGTCCAAAGGACGATGGCGAGACAAATCTCGTTGGCTGAGTGTGTTGGTCAGTTATTGAAGGGTTGCTCTCATTTTTCATCTTGTTTTTAGTTGCGACTGACTAAGCCTGTCCTTTTTCATCCAGGTAAAGGCAGATATGGCGAGGTGTGGAGGGGGACGTGGATGGGTGAAAGCGTGGCTGTCAAGATTTTCTCCTCCAGGGACGAGCAGTCCTGGTTCAGAGAGACAGAGATCTACAATACAGTGCAACTGCGTCACGACAACATCCTGGGTATGGCAGCTAGAACTGTCCTGTTCCAATGGTTTTCAAAGTGGGGCCCGCCAGGGGGCGCTATAGCTAAATCAGATTTATTTTTTTAACATTGTGATAAAATATAACTTTTAATATTATAATATTAAGGTGAGAAATTATATTGTAATGACATAAGAAACCTAGGGACTTAAAATATACATTTTAGGGCACTTTCTCTTTCTAAATATATTAGAAAACATTATTCCACTTTGGCTGACAGGTCACTGATACACTTTTTTGTTTTTGTTTTACAACAGCCTACTTGTATGAGTTTGGCTTTTTGAGTTTGGATAATGATGTGAATATGGTTCTGACAGCTCTCCCAACACACACACACTTGCTAGACATCTGTTGTTCTGTTCTCATAATCAGTAGATTGTTAAAAACATTGTTATTTGGTGCCAATATGAAACGGCATAAAATAATATATAATTATAACTGAAAACATCTCGGTTGTAATTCTAGGAATTCTAAAAAAAACATACAAGAAGTAAATTTTTCTTTACATCTATCGTAGCGGTATCCTTTGGCTTACAAATAGAAGCAATAGCTAATGCTGTTTTGGGGAGGAAGGCCATGGCATAGGACAGAAACGTCTGTACTATTCTAGTTTAAAAATAACCTTGGGTCACTTTATTGACGGGTGTCTGTTTTCACTAAAAACACTCAAAAAGCTTCACTTCATTATAAAAGAAGAACATGATTTATGGGAATGGTTTTATTTAGTTGTTATGGTGTATCTATGATGCATTGTTCCAAATCTATTGATTTTCTTTAGCCTTTATTTTTTATTTTTACTACATTTTCTTTAATGCGGCTTTTTTTGTTACATTAATTTAATTATACATGAATATAATTTAATTATTCATAAATTTCTTGTATTTATTAGCCATATTTCTATATTTTTCTTTACTCATTATTTAAATTTTGCTTTCTTTAAATGTTATTTTTTTGGGGGGTTTTTTGGACATATTTTTTGTTTCACAATATCTTTACTTTGTTTTTATTAATCATTGATTAGTATGCTAAGATTCTAGCACATATATGTCTGTTTTAATTTCTGTCTTTGTTTTTCCTAAATAATCAGACTGATCCAGTGAATCACATTTTCTTTTCTTTCTATAAACTGTACAATGAAACTGATACAGTGCATTGATAAATAGTTGTTTTAAGAGGACACCTATCATGTAATTGTTTGACTATAATAAAGACCTAGAAGTCCTTCTTATTTCATGTACTTTAAAAATCATGTCCTGTCCTTCAGGCTTCATAGCCTCCGACATGACATCCAAAAACTCCAGCACCCAGCTGTGGCTCGTCACTCACTTCCATGAGCTGGGTTCACTCTACGATTTCCTGCAGTACAGCAGCCTTGAGCCAGAGGGCTGTTTGAAGATGTGCCTCTCAGTAGCCTGTGGTCTGGTCCACCTCCACACCGAGATCGTCAGCTCCCAGGAGAAACCAGCAATTGCCCACAGAGACCTCAAGAGCAGAAACATCCTGGTGAAAAGGAACGGACAGTGCTGCATCGCTGATCTAGGTAAAGTGTGCACTGAGGGAGAGATGCTAAGCAAGAAGTCCTCATAGATGCATTTATTCCTACAATCAACTTTGCTTTTTTTTTTTTCCTCTATTCAGGTCTTGCTGTAATGCACTCTCAGTCTCATGACTACCTGGATGTGGGCAACAATCCTCGTGTAGGGACAAAGCGCTACATGGCCCCTGAAGTGCTGGATGAGACGATTCGAGTCGATGTCTTTGAGTCTTACAAGCAAACAGACATCTGGGCCCTTGGTCTTGTCTTCTGGGAAATAACCCGCAGAACTATTGTCAATGGTAAGCTAACAGTAAGATGCAGAGCTTTGCAAATTGTATTTATAAAAAAACGTAACTAGATATTAAGGTTTAAAACCCAAACTTTATGTCTTTAATCGGGATCTTTTGATAGACTGGGGTAAATGTATTCTATAGCTGGGACCTGGAGTTTATTGATTTTTAGCACACATATCAGATAAGGAGTTTTTATTTGTTTGATTGTGAATTAGTAAAATCAGACTTATTTAAACACTTTCATAGTCTGACCTTTAACTCAATCCTTTGACCCCAACTGCATTAGTCCTATCATTCCCCTCAGTGCTTTTAGGGTATGTCAGTGACTTTGTTTCTTCCAGTTAATGTTATGTTCATTTGTCTTAGTTTTTATGTGGATGAAGGAATATTTTTAATAAGGAGAAAAATAGAGGGAATCCCTACAAACACAGGCCAGCTTCAGTGATTTAAAGTCTGGTGTATTTTCCACATAAACAAAAAAATTGACTAGGTAGGACACCAAAACTCAATCCAGCCCAGGGACCCACACCTTCTTAGATTAGCCACAGCTTATAAACGTGAAGAGAAGGAAGAAAGATACTTGATTTTCAGGTGATATAGACTAACACAACAGAGAGGTCCGGGAGAATGGTTTTCTAAACACAATTATAGCCAGCATGAAACATTGTCTTGTCTTTAATCATCGAATCTCCTGATACAGAATGACAATTCTGGGATCACTGATCTAAATAAAAGGCAAATCTGGAAAAATCTTGATGTCTTAAAACCTGAAGGCCAAAACCAGAAAATAAACCTGAACATAAAGCTAGAACAACAATTTATTGGGTTCTCTGAAAGCATTTTCATTTGTTTGAACTGGATCTACTCAAAGTTCCGACTTAGATCAAAAGGAAAAGCTGTGGCAAGACTTCTTCGAACCTGACCTAAAAATATAGGTCTTTAGGTTCGGGGCATTAACTGAAATGCATGTCATGCATATTTTTTACCTACCACTTTACTTTTTTGCCAAACTGTCAGATTAAATCCAATAACAGTTTTTTCCTCATTCGCTAAAACACATTTGTCAAAACCACCCATCTAGTTCTATGAAGTTTAAATGCAAAACCCAACTTTTAAACTGCTTTGTCTTCTGCACTAAACAATGTTATCAGATTAGACTCCCGGTGATCCAGAAAACACCACTGAGCAGTCACTGCACACAGTATAGAAAAAAGGAAAACTTCTTTTAAGCCTTGCATTCGTTTTTATTTTTATTCTATTTCTTGTTTTAACCTCTTAGAATATGTTTCTCCTGCAAGTATTAAAAAACTTTCAAAAGTCTCTCCCCTGTCATTTTTTTCCTGGAGAAATATACACACAAAATCTGTTTCTTATCATGTCAGAGTTTTTCTTTTTTTTCCTGTCTGTGTCTGTCTCTACTATTCCCTCTCATGATTAGCGCTGCAGTAATTATAAACAGTATTATCTGGTGTCAGCACTCACTTTTACATGCTCCAGATGCCCATTCACATGTTTTTGTTATAAACGCACTTCCATGTGCAACCATTTACGCAATCCACTGATATGAAAACAATGTGCAGATGAATATACATGTGGGGGAAGGTCTTTATACAATCACGGGGGAACTGGTATCTCTGCTGTTGTTTTGTTTAATCAAACATGCTTTGCAAAAACTCCCACTGCAGCTTATCTTGAACTTGAAGTGTGTTATTCCAGACCGTGTATCAGGGATAAATGTGTATTCTGGAAATATATGTGAGGATAACCGGGTAAGAAGTGGATAGAACCTTTGATGGCGAGAACATTTACTGCTTTCTTTACTGCCATTGTTGTCATGTCGTTATTTTTCATACTTGTGATTAAATTTGTGCTGTTTTGTTCCTTTCCATCCTCAAGGGATTGTTGAAGAGTACCGACCCCCCTTCTTTGACTTGGTGCCCTCAGATCCAAGCTTTGAGGAGATGAAGAAGGTGGTGTGTGTGGACCAGCAGAGGCCCAGCCTGCACAACAGACTCCACTCCCACCCAGTAAGCCCTCCATGTGCAACACGCACACTCAACTTAACGCTCTTATCTTTGGGAATCAATTCACTGGAGCAGAAATTCTGCTTTTTATCGTTCAAGCTGTGTAATGACTGTAATTTTCTGTTCTAATTCTTATTTTTTATATACAGATCTAGATTAACTTTCTTGCAACAGAAATCTTGCCATAGAAATCTTCCCCCTTTAAAAAATCTCTCACCCTTCAATCGAGGTTCTATATTATTACAAATAATAACAAGGCAACTGCTTTTACCAAAGAGCAGCAGCTGCCTTAGGTTTTAGGGGGAGATCTTCACAAACATGTAAATCTTCTCAAAAAATGAAACAACCAGCTAAAAAAACAACTAATTTCTTAACCATTCTTAACCATGCTTTAATTTGGTAGCAAATAGAATCAAATGATTTCAGCAACTTTTACTCAAAAGCAGATTTGTATACACCCATTAATTAAACTTGGCTAAATAGAGCAGGCTCTTCTAAAGAAACAGTGACTCATGTCCTGTTGTTACTGAGAATAGACAAGAATAAAAATAAATACTTGTAGCGCAACGAATCAGAAAACAATGGACCTAAATATATCTGGGAATCATTTGCATGTAATGGTAAACATGCAGAACGGTTTGTTTTAAGATCTTCAGCGATTTCCCTTTTTTGTGCAAGAACACAATACTTTTTTTGTTTTAGTTTAGTAAGAATTTAACTAAAAAATGATGTTTACTAAAAATGGTGTTCCAGGAACTGAAAAAAACTAGTGTTGCAAAGAGAACAGGGTTAGTGGCTGAATAATTGTCAGTGGCGTTTAAAGTGAACTGACTCAAAGCCACTAATTCTCCTCAGATGCAGAGAGGTTGGGCTAGCTCTGATGATTTATTCCAGTGGCTCCATTTGGATGATTCAGATCACAGATAGACCAATCCAAATCTTGAAGGTGCTAGACAAGGCCAAGGATAGTAGGAGTCAAAGTCAGTCTGGGGGTCCTGCACTTAGAGGCAGTTCATGGGGCACGGTTTTACTGAGGGACAGAGGTAGGCAGCAGATCCGAGATACAGGCTTTGGTTATACATGATAGACAAAACAATCCAGGCATGGGCAGAGGCAAGCAGAGCTGGTTGTTAGGCAAGGCAGGAGGTCAATGTCCAGAGATCAGAAGCCAAAAGGAGTATCCAACAAGCAAGCAGGAGAAAAACAAGAACTAAACAGATCTAGATCAGGAGGTCAAAACAAGGTTTGCTGGAAGGTCAACTCGTGTGAATGGCTTTCAAGAATCTGGCAGTTACCCACTGGGAGAACCAGGGAAATATGGCGCTCCTTCCAGGTGCAGCATCTCCCAATAATTGGAGCAGCTGCAGTTATAACCCCTCAGATCTTATTGCCAGTACAGTAGATGGAGCAGGGAGTGACATCATGGGGTTGCAAGCAGCAGCTTTTCGGGAAGGAAGAGACAGGACTCATTACAGAAACCCTGCCTCAGTCCCGAACATTTTGAGGCCTCCAAAATGTTTTATTTAAGGGCTGGACTGAATTAACTTCCTTTCCTCTTCTGAAAATCTCTGAACAGTTCCCCTGCCCTTACTGAGAAGAAAACCATCAGCATTCCATAACAAAACGCATTTCATATGAGAGTAGAGAAGTTACATGTTGGTCTTATCTGACCTCTCCCACATGTTCGCTGTGTCCTCTGCAGATGGAATTTCAATCGGCTTCTCTCCTTGTGCTTTCTTGCCACTCTTCTCTAAAGGCTTGATATGCGGCTGGAACAGCTGATCGTTGTCTTATTAAATAAGAACAGATAGTTAGAGATTCGAGCTCTACAGAATATTAAACAATCTAAAAGATTTACAGTTGTACATAATTTTGTGCATCTAGTGCTAAACAACACAGGAAGTCATATTTTAGCTTACTGTTTCCACTCTAAAGGCTTGATATGCAGCCGGCACAGCTGATAGTTGTCTTATTAAATAAGTTTCCCACAGTAACCCTGATGAAGTCTTTTCCAGAGTTACAATTTAACACTTGGCATTTGCTCTGTTTCATGCTGTGCATGCTCATCCTATCAATAATTTGGACAGGTGTCATATGGCGGCTGTGCAGTCACTAAGGTTGTGAAGGCAACTGCTGAAAATGAATTATTTAGGGGTATCAAATTTGAGAAGAAATACCGGTATAAATCCAACTTCACATTTTTCAACGTTAAAAGTTACATTTATTTTCAGTTTTCAGTTATTTGCTACTTTGAGCTGATATTTTGTTATCTATAAAGCCTTTTGCGAATCACCGTATTTTACATAGCTACAAGGAAGCCTATGCTTTTTGAAATAAAATAAGAAACTGTACTATATTGTACCCATAAATAAGAATGTATCGCCATTGGCTTTTGCTCTGTTTCATGCTGTGCATGCTCATCCTATCAATAATTTGGACAGATGTCATATGGCGGCTGTGCAGTCACTAAGGTTGTGAAGGCAACTGCTGAAAATGAATTATTTAGGGGTATCAAATTTGAGAAGAAATACCGGTATAAATCCAACTTCACATTTTTCAACGTTAAAAGTTACATTTATTTTCAGTTTTCAGTTATTTGCTACTTTGAGCTGATATTTTGTTATCTATAAAGCCTTTTGCGAATCACCGTATTTTACATAGCTACAAGGAAGCCTATGCTTTTTGAAATAAAATAAGAAACTGTACTATATTGTACCCATAAATAAGAATGTATCGCCATTGGCTTTTGCTCTAATTATATCTTTGTGTGCACAGATTCTGTCAACCATTGTGAAGATCATGAAGGAGTGCTGGTTCCAAAAGCCAACGGCCCGCCTCACAGCCTTGAGGGTTAAGAAGACTCTTTCCAAGTTGGATGTCGAAAGCGACTTCAGCATAGAGAAACTCAAGCGTGACATCTAAATGAGAACACCCAAAAAAATATCATGTAACAAATCAAAAACCAACAGCAAAAGTTAAACGGCATCAGCTTAGCCAAAAAACAGATGTTTCCATGAGCACTTAACTACAGCTAATGTTTTGCGGGGGGTTGCAACAGCTAATTTATAACAGTTCTCCAAGCAGGAGGTCATAAAGGGAATTTCTTTACTCATCATTACGGGATAAGAAATTTTGGCCCAATTACTCACACCTTTTAAAATGGACTTTCCACAATGACTCCATTATAACAGCACAAAAGTTTGACTTTGTCAACAACATTCTTAGAACATGTATAAGATGTTCAACTTAAGTTATACATGCATTTATTAAACAGACTGAATTATTAAGTTGTACATATTTTAAAAGAATTGACGCTTGTAGGGATTCAGTGGTTATTTACAATATTGATAAGTGTAAATATATTTCAAGAGATGTTATTTTCTTTATTAAAGCACATTTTATACACATTTTTTATCGCATTTTTTAAAATTCATTTTGTATTGCTTCTGTAAACCTTAAATGTACCATCACAACCACTATGGTCAATGTAGCAAATCACACAATGACATGCAATGTTGTAAACCTTTAATAAAGCTTTGTATTTTGTAAATAAACTAGTGCTTGTTGTTCTGTTTTTGACCAGCAGGGGGAATCAGAGATAAAACATGGAAGAATTCATGTTTCTTCTCGGCCTAAAAGTGAGGTTTGGTTGTTTGTTTCATGCATCGAGCTTGAACTACATTATCTCCAAAAATGTATTTTACATAAAAGCTAACTGATTTTGACAGAGGAGTTTCTTTTTTTATATACAAATGTGCAAAGAATTCATTACTAGATTTGGAAATTCCACTTTTACTCCAGTAGAAGTGTAACTCACTGAAATGATTTAATTAAAGTTATTCATTGATAGAAAATATTACAATTTCATATTGCAAACATCATATGTCAAATTGTGCAACTTAAGACTAAAATTTCTAATAAATAAAATGCAATTGACAAATCTAAAAACTACTATCTTGTAAAGATAACATCTAAAAATTATCATAGATAATATTACTATTCTTTGATATTATTTGTGATGTTTTGCTATAAACCTGCCCCATATTCTTGAATCCTTAGAAATCAGAATATTGCAGAATCTAGAAAAATGAAGGATTCATGGAAATGGAAAATATACTTTCCTCGAAATTGCTTGAAAAGCAAATTTGTTTGAGCAACTAAAGAGACAAACAAAAATAAACATATTTTTAGAAAATGTAAAAATAGAAGTGATTAAAAGAAACTATGAAAAGGGAGCTTGGTGATCAAAATCGACAATAAAAATACAAAAAATAGTGAAAGTCATCACAATTTAATAAACAGCCACTCTACAGAGAGTTTAGAAGTCGAATGTCTGTTGGTATAAAAGATCTTGCATACCCGTTTGTTTTACTGTGAGGCTTGACAGAGCGGCATCCTAACAGCTTAAAAAATTTAATTCATTTTAAAGAAGAATATATTTCTTCCAAGAATAAATAAATATTTAAATGGAAAATTTCTTTGTGGTTTTATCTGTATCTAAAGTCTACATCTGGGTCGTTATTTCATCTCATTGCTTATCTTTTTTTCCCATATACGGAAAAAATGGGGGCCTCTGATAGTAAACTGCATAAAAAGAGAAATAAAAAAAGCAACCAACTAAAGCAAGGACCCGCACAATTCTGTGGAGCCCTTAAGGATGTTACAACGGATGTAATGAAGATTATTAATATCAGCTGTGTCACATCTGCGAGATTGTCTTTCTGCCTTAGTAGTACTGGTTTCACTCTTGTTATCCGTGGGTTTGTGTGTGTAAATGTTGTCTGGTGAATGTTAAATAAACCTTCAGAGAGATAATACTCCCAGTCTGTCTGCTCAGTGAGTTATTTTTAACACTGTAGATGGGGCGGGGGGGCTATTAGATATAAGAGGGTCCAAACTCTCCATGTTAACGTACAGAAAGCTGTGCCTCTACGCTGGCTCTCATTCCCCTCCTTGTTTTTCCTGCTTCTTTTCTTTTTTGTTTTTTAACAGAGATTATATTCAGTGATTTGGTAAAGCTCAGGGTGTCTTTATGCACTATAGAAGAGTGAAAATAAAAAAATTCAAATGGGAAAAAAATTATCTGAAACTAGACAAGACCATGCAGACAGAACTGGGCCAGTGGACACAGTGAGCAGCAAAACTATTTATACCCCTCAATTTTTCATATATTGTCATGTTACAACCTAAAAATGTTGTTTACTTTATATGGATTGTAGGTGATAGATCAAAGTTAAGAAGTAAATAATTGTAAAGAGGGATTTATACATGTTTACATTCAATTACATCTAAAAGGTTGAAATGTGTGGCATGTATTTTTGAACAGTCTCGTCATTGTCCCGTTGGAAGGTGAAATGCCAGGTATATCTTTTTCCCATCGAATCTCACCAGCTTCCTTAATTATACTGATGAAAAGCATACCCACAGCATTATGCTGCCACCACCATGCCATCAGAATTCGACCACTCAGGTCAGACCACTTTTTAGTTCACTCTTTGCAAATAAAAACTCTAGTAAGCATACTACATACTAGATACATACTAGGTAATACTGAATTTCCCTAAACATCTCAGGACAGTTTGTGATGATTTGTTACAACATGTATAGATCATCATATAGGTCCTATAGATCATTTAGAGTGGCAACAGGAGGCCAGGTGATGGAGAGAAACAATGAGCATCTGGTCACAGCCTAACATCGTTTTAACGTGACGCATTCACAGATGGGAATGAATATATTAATCTGGGGTAGAGCGAAAAAAAAGAGAGAAAAAAAGAAAACAATGAATGAAACAAGACCTAACTTATGAAACTTATGATTTGAGATAAGCAACAAAAGAAAAAAAAGAATCTTCTTATGTAAAACACGTGAAAAGATCAGATAGTTAGAGATTAGAGCTTTACAGAATATTTGATGTACATAATTTTGTGTATCTAGTGCGAAACAACACAGGAAGTCATATCTTAGGTTGCTGTTTCGGTTTTTCTCCTTTATACTTCATCCTACGCAGCAGAAATGTGTCACTTTCTCTCAGTTCTTCTATTTGCATTGGACAACTGTGTCATGTATCACCTGGAAATCGTCACTGTGGCTTTAAATCTTTATAAAGCACGCAATCCTCCTACACTGACAATGCTGTCCTTGTTTGGAATTGATGCTCCAAAAATACACACTCTATCTGGTAAACACCTGTTTGAACTAATAGGATAAACTTTGAAAAGCAGGATAAATTAGTTGGCTATAGAGAGTTTTATGAATTGATGAATGTCTTTTTTTTTTGCTTTTCTCTCTCTCTATATATGTTTTTTTCCTTTTTTTTCACTGATAAATATCTTTATGTCACACAACTTTGATCTTATTAATGAATTTTCCCACAATAGTGCCTGCCTAGAAACTACACAGTCCAGATGTTCAAAATATGCAAGACAATAATAAAAAACAATGACATTTTATTTGATTTTCTTTTATTTTAACTATATTTTTTGTATTAAGGTATTTTCAGATGCTTTCAATTTCTGAATTCATATTAAACTAACCAACAATTTATTAATGGAACAAAAGATCCAAGTAGAGATGGATCTTTCTTGTATTTAATAGAAATAGGACATATCCCAGAAAAGGGAATACATGGCCTAAAACTGTCATAGGAAATACAAAATAATAATTGTGAAAAAAAAAAAGAAAGAATTTGCAGCCATACGATTTAGGGGTGAAAGGGAGATAGTGTGATGATAAAACACACAATAGAGATAGGAAAGATGAGAAAGGAAAACAAGTTCAATTTAATAGGTTGCTCCTAATACACAAATGATTCAACACCATCCAATATTTTTCCCCCCCATATTTGTCACAGTTCACACTCAGAGGCGTAGCCAGAAATTTTTTTTTAAGGGTGGCCGAAAACAGATAGGCACCAGAACCTTAGGGTCAATCTGTACTGTTCCAACAGGAAAATTAACGAGCAAAACATCCATATTTTCTAAGAAATAGATGCATATATTTAAACATCCATAAAAAGTATGGTGAATAAAACTCAGTTTTGAATTCTACAGGGTAAATCAATCATCATTGTCATTACCTACTTGTATCAATAAACATTCTGCATAAAATTGATATTTAAAAGCACTAGTATCTACATAAATTGATTATTTGGTTTTTTTTTTTATTAAAATTGATATTTATCTTTGATTTCACCGAAGATTCCTAGATGACTTGCAGGTGTAAGACAAAATCTAGTTCTGAAAAGAGCATGAATTCTGTACTTATCATCTTGATGTTAGTATATTGATGTATATAATTAACCACAAAACATTTTTTTTTATATTCCACTTGAAAGCATTACTGCTGCCACAATCTGTATTAGAGGAAAAAAATGGTAGGGGTGGCCAATGATTGGGTAAGGGTGGGCATGGCCACCCCTGGCCCCCCATCTAGCTTCGCCCCTGCTTTTCTTGCTGTAAATAAAAGCATAGATAAAAGTACTTTCTAACATACTAATTCATGATTGATTTTTTTGTTCAACTGTAAAGCAAGATTTTTTTTTTCTCATGGCATTTAGAAGAAAGCTGACATCAGTTTGAGACTGAATCATGACCCAGACAGGAAAAATTAACCCACGCGCAAGTTTTCGATTTCGCTTGTTTATAAGAAAGGCGCAGGAAAAATCACTCTCGCTCCATAATTGTGAGACTTGGAGGTCTGTAATTCAGCCTGTTGTATTTCACCCCTAAATAAACTCACACAAGCAGCAGTGACCCTGGCGGCAGAGAGAGGAGGGGAGGGGGGGACGTCCAGCGCAGCCCTCCCCCTTTAAAGACGTCACAGGCGGGCTGGCTGGCTGCTATCTGGCGGTGTGGTGTGTGCGGTCGGACTGTGGTTGTGTTTCAGCTCTCACCGTGTTGATAACGACACACTTCGGGTGCTTTTCCTCGCGCTAGACATGGGAATTCAGCAGCCATGGCTCTAAGACTAAAGGCCCTAACGCTGCTGGCCCTGCTCGGGCTGGCGGCCGTCGGTGACGGTGAGTGCACCTCTTCGGCTTTTGTCTCGCTCTGTTTTTTTTTTTTTTCCTCCTGAACTGGGCACTGCCTGCTGTCGCTGATGATCGTCATGGCGCTCTGTGTATCTGGGATTTAAGCTAGCTCGGTAGCCGTGTCTGGCTAGCGCCGACCTCTAAATCAACGGTTGCTTTGCTCGACATGACCAAATCCCCCCTATGATGTGCTCTTAGCATATTTTATATTTACTGTGATTTAAATCGACTTGTAAAATGAAATTAGTCAGCAATGAACACGCAGCGGCTGCATAAACCATAATAACAACATGGTGGAGCTGTGTTTTGTGTCGAGGCGCCAGCTAACCTTTGCTAGCCCACTATCAGAAGTTGACTAATGTTAATAATAATGCTCCTTGTATCACATACATTACTAATAAACTGAGTTATCTTATATTGTCAGCGTTAATAGAGATGGCAAATAACTTTTTTTTCTCTGCCCCTTTTATGAGCAGCGTTACTTTCTAAACACCTTCTTTTAAATATCTGTTTATCAGCATGTTGCTTTGAACAGAGAGTAAAGCAAGGCCTGTTGGATAAATATACCTGGAGTGGTAAAGTGCTGTTATGGTAGAGCTTGTTTACAAGTTAGAAAGCACACATCCATTAAAGGAGGACACTGTTTTTGGTATTAGATGGGGGAGTTTGGGGGTCCTGAATGAGTGGAAATGCTCAGACAGAAGTCAGAGTTGAATTTGGGTTCATTGTGATGGAAATGTGGAGTCTGGGGTCTTTTCAGACGCCTTTTGGGTATTCTAGTCTGAATCCCCCTCTGCATAATGATGGAGCAGCTGATGCCAACCACACAGGACAGCTGTGTAGTATTTTATTTCAATCTAAACTCCAGATTTCCTTTAGATCATTTGCATATTGCCTTGTTTGTTGGCCTATGCTGCAAAAAAGGCATATGTTTTTTATTTTTATTTTGTTAAGCTGATAAGGACAACAATTCAGCCATTTGGATTTTCATAACTACTTTATCTAATTCTGAAATAAACTGTGTTTTGCATTGGGTTTAAAGTAAGCAGGTTTATTGGCTGAATCTGGTGTATGTTTTTGCCATTTTTATGAGGATAGAAATTATTTAACAATGACAAAAACATTGATGTGAAAAATAGCCAATTTTTCACAAGATTACATTAGGCTTAAAAAATAACTATAACTTCCTCATTATTATTATTATCATTATATATATTTCTTTCTGCTAAAATGTAATTCTTGACTCAAAAATGGGGATTTGATCTTTTATAAATTTGGATATAAACCTTCTCTTTGCACCAAGCTGAGCTTCAGCTTGAAACCTTTTTCAGTGTTAAAACTGTTGCTCAGTTTTGAAAGCAAGATAAGAAAGCTATTTAAGTTTTTATATGGAAACTGACGTTTTCTCTGGCTATTTCAGCAATTGTCCACACCAAAAAAATTTAAGAGCATTTGTTTATGTGTTAATATAATATTAGAAATTCTCAACACTAACTTGGAAAAGCAAATAGCGACCTGGTAGGTGGTGCACACAGTAGCAATTGTAGCACTGTCTAGTTAGAAAGCATGCTACTTTTATACAAGTCTGGCTTAATTACTGCCTTACGAAAGTTTTGCTTTGTTAGTTTATGCTGCTTTAGTATGCTTTTAGCTCAGAGAAGGATATTTTTAGCGGTATTTGTGGTTATGTTTCTTGTATTGGTTAATATGTGCTTGTGTTAGCAGTTACAGCAGTAATGCCTTGAGAACTCATACATTGCCGCTCCCTCCATGTGCTATCTATTGTTAATGTTTTCTTTAATTGGTTAATAAATGTTTATTTTATTATGCTTGTGTAACACTTATTTCTGGGACTTTTTTAAATCATGTAAATGGAAGAAGAGGAAAGCAATATCAGCAACACAAATTGGGAATCAATTAAATGAGCATAAAATTAATCAGTACCTGCTTTTGCCTCAACAACTCTGTAATGGTAGATCTCTACTTTAGTCGGTCGAAATTCATCTTTCATAGATTGGAAAAGTCTAGGAGCCTTTTTAAAGGCAACCGACCAGGAGTGTGCAGCAATTAGCAGAGAAGGGTTGGGGATGCTTTGCTATTCTGAATATTTGAACTTTAAATGATTTATCTCCCATGTAAGCACTTTAAAAATGAAGTATACCTAAACAGATGCCTATGAAGTGCGGGTGTGGTAGCAGCCTTTTCTAGCCGTGGTATGTCTTGACCAGCACATGCTTCGTTTCAGCTTGTCATTGAGTAGATTCATTTGGCAACAACACCAAAGAAAAAAAAAAACAACCTGTCAAAATCAGCCACGCTATGTTGTCACCTTTCAAAGCTAATGTTGGTTGAGTCATCCCAGCAAGAATCATAAAACTATTCCTCCCCCGCTCAGGTAGATAAGGGTGCAGCACAGGACGGTTTTGACTTAAAGGAAATTATCACACCTACGTGGCCTGCTTGGCCAGCCTCCCCCAGCCTTTCACAATACTGAGTGAGGGTAATTGTGTTGAGGTGAGTTAAAGAGAGAAAATCAGTCTGGTTGATGGTTAGGTTCTTCTTTGAAGGGATCTGCAAATTGCAATTTTCATACCTTGTAATGGATTCTTTCATGAAAAGGCTCCCAAAAAAATGTTATCACAGTAGAAGTTAATATTTTAGTCCTGGTAAAGTGATTCTACCCAACACATTTGGTTTCTCTCACAGGTTAGGTAAATTTGTTAAGTGTTGTTGACTTCGTACGGATTAGCAACCTCTGGTGTTGTGTGAATACGCGTCTGCGTGACACAGTCAAGTCTGTGTGAACTGAACACAGAGGCAATGTGATATGTGCCGTCAGCTGCAGTGCTGTGAGGCAGGGTGGGTCCCTCCTTTTCTCTCTGTTTTCTGGCTCATACAAAAAAAGGAGGTCCTGTCCTTTGTCTGGTTTTCATATGCACTTTAACTTGAAGATTTCTGTTTCCTTCAGTGTGCTGGGTAACACAAACCCTCCATGTCGAAAGGTTCTCTGCTATCTGTTGAACTCTGCACTCATAGTTAGCCCTACTATTCCAGAGTCGTGTAATTCATTAGTGCGTTTCTCTGTAAATCATTGTGGGTTAGCTCACAAACAGGTGCTATTTCAGGCTGAATGTAATGTTTAGGAGCCTGTGTTGGATTAGTTGTCAAATAGAACGTGTGCATGCCTGCCCATGAGGTCACTGCTAAGAGAATTAGTTTTTGGTTTTATAGGTAAGCATCTGAAAGCCAAGATTGGTCTCCTCTGGCTCAAACATCTTACCCTTAGTGGTCTGTGTTTACCAACATTTCTTTAGAATGTGGCCCAGAGCCAGTCAGGGTCAGTTCCAGTATTGGGGTGGTTTGGTTTTCACTTGATAATCACCAGTATTGTTAATGACCTTGACCGGCCTGGAGGCAGAGAGGCCTAATTGCTAAAGCAGACAGCATAGCCTCTTTCTGACCCTGCTCTGCCATTATTGATGTTCAACCACAAGGGATTTACCACCAATCTGAGAACACCCACTTTGGATCTTTAGTTTTTACATGCAAAGGACGTAAAAGAGAGGGATCCAACATATAAAAGTGATATTTGGCTGTCAGTTCAGGTTCTTATGGATTTTCTAGCTGTTAATGTTGGTGTTGGTGCAGTTGGTATGCCAAACCTAAAACCTGTTTTCTGTAATGTGTCTGCTTGTTGAGGTGTTAGATCTGTTTTTCCTACATGCTGTTGGCATTAAGATTAGATGTGCCTTTGCTGTATAATTTTTTTCTCGGAATGTGTGCAGTCTGGTCTTTAAAGTCTTTTTTTTTTTTTTTTCCCCAACACTTTCCTGTGAAGGACCCCCTGTTGATTGCTGTGACTGAAGCTATCAGGAAAGTTATGCTCAAGATTTAGGTATATTTGATAGTTTATACAGTTTATATAGTTGAGCATTTTTTTTGTCTTTATAAAGTATTTCCTTTTTTTATTAATGTTGAATTTATTTCAATCATCTTCCATTGCCAATGTTTTGGAACATTTATGTAAGTGAAACAGAATTTAATTTTAGCCATGAAGACCTGATGGGTGTGTCTCAGTTTATTGTGAGTCTCTGTTTGTTGCTTAGACTATAAAACTATCTAGGGGTCTAAAGTTCATGCTAAACCTCCTAGTTAAATGTAGGTGTGGTTAGTGATGAACTGATAAATTGAGCAGAGATAGAAATTTGACCAATATTTTGATTGATCGGGTTGGTGAATTTGGGGTCCAGAGATGTAACTGTCAACTAAGTTAGTTATAGATTCCTCATTAACTAGAGTGTCGAGACTCTAAAAGGTGCCCTTAGCTTTCAAAGCAACCCACCTTGAGCAGCAGTTATTTCAAAACAGAAATAGGAAAAAAAAGGGTGAGCACTTTGCATTTCAGATAAAAATCTTTTTCATCTGTCAAATATGTTATATCCAGCACTTCTCAAGTGGAAAAGTTTTATTTTCACTTGGTTTAATTTCACAAAAGTCTTCTTTAAGAACCATCAGCATTTACCATCCGAGTTGTACCGTATTTTGTTTGATTAAAAATCAGGTAGAGCATCAAAGACATAAATTGGGATATCTATTGGGATATTTAATTCTTTCACTTTCTGTGTGATGACATGGCTCCTACATACATGCAAGAACCTGCCATCTGTTCTTGCTCCTATCCATTATTGTGCCCCAAAGAAAAATCTGATTGGTCCGTTTCTGATTTATTAGTTCCAATCTCTTTGAATCACATTAAGTATCTGGAGTTGGTTTCCATGCAACTATAATCATGTTACTTTTGAGCAATATTTTTTTATGATGTAACGAAGCAGCTTCAAGTTAGATTTTTTCTTTTCGTTAAATGCATTGATTCAATGTGCTGTGGCATTATAAATGTAACTTTGATCAATGTAAGTGCCTCCAGACGGTCCAGAAGCACTCTTTGATCCCATCCAGGAGGACAGACACACAGGATGGGACGTAGCCTG